GCTCACTGAGCATTGAGCTGGCTGTGTCTGCGTGTTCTTCTCCAAACAGTTTAATACGGATGTCGAGTGCATGCTGTTTGGACTGAAGCGCTGAAGGAAAGTCGCCCTGGTCGTGCTGTGTTACTCCGAGTGACTCGTAACTGCTGGCTGTGTCTGCGTGTTCTTCTCCAAACAGTTTAATACGGACCTCGAGTACATTTTCTTCAGAATGGTGCGCAGAGGGAAAGTCACCCATCTTGTACAATGTTACTCCTAGTGATTGGTAACTCCTGGCTGTGTCTGCATGTTCTTCTCCAAACAGTTTAGTACGGATATCGAGTGCATGCTGTTTGGACTGAAGCGCTGAACAAAAGTCGCCCTGGTCGTGCTGTGTTAATCCGAGTGACTCGTAACTGCTGGCTGTGTCTGCGTGTTCTTCTCCAAACAGTTTAAGAGAGGCCGTCAGAATATTTCGAGAATCGAAAATCAATGACGAAAATTCTAATTTTTTTTTATTTTGCGAAAACATCCCTTTCTGTGAACTAGTTCTGTAAAAAATATTTTAAAGTTCCAGCGATTTTCTTTCTGGCTGAAATTGAAAAAAGTTTGAAAATTCGTTAAAATAGCCGTTTTCGCCTTGCCGAAACGGTCAAATCGTCACGCAACTTTAGAAAGATGTTGGCAGCACTAAGCAAGTCCATTCACCATCAAACTTTGCACAGTAATTATAATATCACTGCACAATAAAAGCATATATAAATTTTCTTCTAAATCTCTTTGGTTTGGGTTTTATCGCCGTTTTATAAAGGTGTATTTTGCACGTCTTTTTGGGAGACAAAATGAAGGCTAACTTTGATCGGTTTAAACGACACCTGGTACCTAAAATTTCGACATTAAAACAATATCAGACGGGAGCTCATATATCCAACTATACACCTGGAAAGTTTGGCCGTTGGAAATTAAGTCTCGTCTCGGTAGTTGAATAAAACGTGATACCACCCAAGCGCCATGTAAGCGTGCAGAATTCGATATTCATTTCAAGCTAATTATATAGTCAGTTTGTCGGCGTCAGCATCGTTATGTTTCTTGCGTGAAGCTGTGAATGTAAAGCAAAGTAGTTTTTAATCTTTTAATCTTTCTTAATCACGTGTCTCTGAACACATGTTAACACGGCTGACGGGACTTTTGGTTTTAATGTCAAAATTTACAAACTTCAGAACATTTCGAAAAAAGTCAGTGTTGGCTAAAACACCGCTACTTTACACTTAAATTAATGATGTGTTGAGTTGCTTCTTATCAAATATACACAAAAATTCTTCGTGCTTAAATGAAGAAAAAGAAAGCTATTTGGATCATTCACAGCATTCATGGTATAGACAACGAATGCAATTTAGCAAGTTTATTGACCTGTACGTGACCTAAGCCGTGACGCTTAAAATGTTCAGGTCAACAAAGAATCGCCTCAAATTCTTTTATTTCTGCTTTAAAAATATTGGACGAAAGAACAATATAAAAATCCGTCGAGGAAACTATCATCACATTTTTTTAAAGAACTTTCCGAGAATCATTTGTGTGAAAATCAATTTGAGATGGGCCGCAAGTGATCAAATCTATTACTGATAGTCAACTCACATTTTTGAACGAGCATTAATTTGATCATAATGGACGACGTCTAATTGAAAACTGTAATCATCCTTTAGCGAATGCTTGTCAGAGCGAGTCAATAAGTAACGTTGTAAGATAGAATCATGTACAGTACCTGTTCTTTTCCATCGCCGGTGGATTACAGTACGCCCCGCGGAAGATGCAGTGACTACCCAAGTCACGTCAACTGGGTGATCACAAATCCAGTTGATCAAATTACAGCTTGTCAAAATAAAAATAAATTGTCGATGTCGTGGTTCAATTCCTTGTCTGAATTAGTCACTATGTAAAACTGTAAAATGGCATAGTGTACCTGTTCTTTTTCATCGCTGGTGGATCAGTGTTCACCATGCGGAACAAGCAGTGATTATCCAACTCACGTTCAGGTGGTCACACTCAGGGATTGGTTAAGAGATGTTTTGGGGCATTTGGAATCATAGGGAATCAGTGGTGATGAAGCCATCCACAGTGAACTTAAGCTGTTGCTAGCTCGAGCAGGTATCCTTTTTACTTTTTCCATTGTTTTGTGCTGCAGTATTAAACTGTGCAACGGACTTAGTTTGTGGTCCACAAGCATTAAAGTACAAATACTCTTTGCCTTTAAGGCCCAGTTCAGACGTGGTGCTTCTGCCGTGCCGAACTAAATTGCAATTTAGCACGACTGTAGCACGGCAGGAAATTTTCTCAGATTCAGACGTCGAGTCGAATCAAATTCAGGGTTTACTGAAGCCTCGCAACAATTCTAGCTAACACTCCTCCTAACTCCCCGAGGCAACGCAATCTCGCCAAAACACATTAACATCTTTATGAATTTAGTTTGGCGCGACCGTGAAGCACGACGTTTGAATCGCTGTCGTGCTAGAGTCATGTAGCACGGTAGCGCTTGTTAAACTTAATTGTTTGCCGAACTTAATTCAAAAGTTTGATTCAGACGCTGTACTTCTGCCGTAAGTTTGTCGAACTTAATGCCTGAGTTTAGTTCGGCCGGGAGTTCGGCACGGCAAAAGCACGACATCTGAACCATTGATCACGGTCTAAGTAAATAAGTAGTTTCTTTTACAAGACGAGAAGACCACCCCCTCCCTCCCTAACCCCCATCTCCCCCGACCCTCTCCTAGCGCAAACACAGTCTATTGAAGAACCGTGAGAAAAGGTCCGCATGAATCATGATTCCAACGGAACATACGGAATATAATATGATTATAAATCCAATTGGAGTGAAAAAGTGAAGGGGACTGGGATAACTAGCATATAGCGCTCTTTCCAAATTCTCTAGCTACCCTTGTCGACTTGAACAAAATTATTATCCCAGTGCTTTACTTGCCTCCTTACTTATCAACTTCTGTGCGCGTGTGTAAAAAAAGGAAATCTTGCATCCTATTTTTCAACCCCTAGCCTTTGAGAAGCTACATTAAAAAAGTGCAAGCATCAAACTTTAAAATATTTTCTTTTAGGAATTTTCGATGTGCAAGTTTCTCACGAAGTATTAACAATATGCCCTCGAAACCGAGCCGAATTTAGAATTCGCTGGAGATGCAGAAAAATTAAATGCACTGTACCCGAAGAAGTGGCAGCACACAAATCGGCTACTTCGAAGGCTGACCGACGGGTTGACAGCAGCATATCAGCATACGTATTGAAAAATACGGGAAAGCTTGTTCAAGTTGGATCACGTAAGTAGCTCTTTTTTTATAAACCTCGTAATGCTGATAGATTTTGGTCTCATATAACGACAGGGAAAACAAGAGTAGCCGAGAGTAGGGAGAGGGAACTAACACTTGCACATACTTGCACATACTTTGTACGAAATGTTTTTTCAATTCTCTGCGCTCGGCTGAGCTTTTATGTCCGGCAGCTATTGTATGTGCTAGAATGAGGCTTGTTACATGCAAAAGGATTGGTTTCAAAAGCTTAATTAATATGGCAACTGTCTTGCTTTTTCTTATATGTTAGCCATCTGCAGTTTGTGCAAGAATTACATCGTCAAGGCCATTCAAGAGCAGCAGACAATGACGGCGTATATTTCGCCAGAAATAATATTGACACCGGCGGAAGAGGATACTCCTGACGTAAGTTTTCATACTAAGAATGATTTCAGCGATCGTGGTGGTAGTGGGGGGTAGCCTGCGCCGCAGACCTAATCAAATTAAACAATAGAGTGTTACTGTCGAGGAACTATCGGCTGATAGTTGCCACGCGGAAATTTGATGTTCTGAAAACAAATATTTTCCCGAGAAGGGAAGCTTCGAGGGAAAATATGCTAGTTTTAAGAACATCAAATTTCCAAGGGGTAACTATCAGACCGATAGTTCCGAGACATAAACACTCTATTGTCTTTATTTTTCACCACTAAATTTTCTTCCTCGCGCCAGTTTAAAAACAATCAAAACCCACTAAATACAAATCAATCAAATATTCATTCATGCGTACAGCCTGTCACAAATGTCAATAATTCGCAACCGTACACTAGCTAAATAATGCGTTCTACTTTTCATAATTTTTTTTCGGGTATTTCCGCGGACGGGCACTATCCATCCGGGTATTTTCTGCGGACCGGTACTGTGGGCTGATAGTGTCTCTTCACACTATCGCGTCACTTGATCAATTTAAACCAATAAGAATCGGAGAAAATTTAGTGGTGAACTATAACCGTGGATAGTAACAATCCGGGGTTAGATAATGTCTACGACGCACACTATGGTGGGCGCCTGGAGAGGGGGGTTGTACTCTCCTGTATCACCTGTATGTATTGCTGTGCCGAGTACGGTTTTGCGTAGTTTCGTGTCGAATAGAGAAACTATACAAATTACATATTAATGTAATTTTAATTTACAAGAGTGACCCCAATTAGTTTTGAAGCTAAGCACTTTGACAATGAATTCAAGTCTTGCTGCTGCTGCTGCTACTACTATTACTACAGCTGTTTAGTTTTATTTAATGTAATCATTTTACAGGATACCAAGCTACCTTTCTCACCTGACGAAAGCAGTAGCGAACGATCAGAAGATGAATTTGCCGAGTCATTTTCCCGACTCCAGGTCGGCGACGACACCTTTCTATCTCCAGACACCGAGAGCACAGGATCTACTCATAGTGAGGATTCTAGTACCAAAAACAAACCACGCAGAAAACTAAACGATTTTCTAGTTGCTTGCAAAATTGAGCCGCTTGAAAAACCATGGCTAAATTGGCAGGTTTCGAGTGGGGCCACTAGGCAACGCTATACCAAGAAAGCCACAGAGATAGTAACAGCTGTTCTCAAAACCATTTCTCCGGACAGCGCTGGCGATCTGTGGCACAGTTTAATATCCTCTTCAGCTGTGAATAAAGCCCTTGGTCTAGATGAGTTACCCCAGTCCGAAAAACTGTATTTAGAG